AGGGGCCGTTGGCGAAGCCAGGGCTGATTTTTACTGCGTCCAGTCGTTCCCGATCCTGTGTGTGATGTGATGATGGCGGCTGCTTTTAGATGACTACAAAGCGAGTCCAAGTGGTTTTCTATTGCTCAAAGGGGCTCTCTGCTGCGTAGTTGAGGGTTGGCCTGCTGAAGAGGTTCTTGAGAAATTATGAGAAGTTGGTCACGTGTGTGCCTGCCGTGTGTAAGTAAAGCTGAGGTCAACTGTGGGGGGCGTGGTGCTTATCGGAATGCCTATTAGTTAGCGAGATTATCATGGCCGTCAGACTGCCGAAGGACAGGAGTACTGACCCAAATGTTATTGGTTAGCCAGAAGGAGCTGCGATGTAAAGCCTCGGGGGACGGGCGTTGTTCGAGTAGGGGGACAGCATTTATTGGCCGTCCACCGCAGCTCCCCGCTAGATGCAGAAGGAAGTGAATGTGTCAAACGTGAGCTTACGATGAAATGAAGAATATAATTCAGTGCACATGCAAATTGCAGAGAGTTTGTCGTGTTTGACAGTAGTTACTCGTATTTGAGATCAGCGTGGTGCTTGCGAACTGTACTGAGGTGCAGTTGTGGAATCAGCCGAAGGATATGCTGAGATGATTTCGACACCGTTTACTAGTGATTTGGTACTTTGGAATGAGAAAAAAATGTGTTCTTCAGCTCAAATGCGTGTGCCTGTAAGTCGGCACGTGGATAGTAAGAGGGACCTCGCGGCAGAGCGTGCCAGTAAGGCAGTAGGAGGAGAGGTATCACGGAGCCGTGTGCCAGTGGGTCTACGCGTCGTCAGGAGAAAACGTCATCTGAACTACGTGTACCAGTGAGTCGGCAAGTTGGGTGGAGAAAAGGAAACTTCGGACATAGGGCATCCCAGTGAGCCGAGTTGAACAAATGTGTCAGAGAAGTAAGCACAGGGTCGTCCAGACACAAAATTCAGATGGGGTGCAGTGTCGAAAATTTGAAAACTCATCGATTGATACGCGATTGCCTATAATGACAAGAACTCACGAATGGTGGTTTAGTTGGCAATGGGCGGATGAATGTCTCGTAAAAGGGAGAGATATGACTGCAATTAGCAAATTTGGATATGGTCCTAAAAATGATTATGCTTCGACGTGTACTTGTGCGACTGGGTTTGTAGAATAACATCATGTTGATTCGCGACAGGGTGTTGGTTATCGTGGTTGCCTATCTGTGGGCACGATGAGTGGTGCGGGCAAAACAGTACGGTGAAGTCGAGTTGGAATTCCGTGAAGAAGTTGCCAGCCATCAGAAGTTGCTGCGGGCTCAAGGCTCGGGGGATAGGCATTGAACGAAGAAGGGTGCAGCGTTTGTTGGCCATCCGCCACATATTCAATCAACTCGCTGCTCACTCAGTTTTCGCCTGTCGCGAGAATATCGGCCTCATAAAATTTGAATGTTTGGCCGGGTCCATTTGCATCAGTTGCGATATAAGAATTTACCTTACTTCTCCGCACTGCTACCACTTGTTCGGCGATTGGTTTTTTCAAAATTCCTCCATTTTTTCGGACGGAGTTGCTTTTTCTGCAACTGAACCTAAACCGACAGATGACTCAAGATGTTTCTTGCCATTGTAGTCGGTATCTTGGCTTCATCCTTTGACGCCTTATGGTCGCCTATAATGCGACTCCAGTTCCAAATAAGCGAGAAGGCGGCCGAAGGCCCCGAGGGGTTTTAACCTTACAGCTATTCCTCACCGCTACAGCGACTACCTGCCTTAACGGAGCTTTCCGTTTTTATACCATCTACTACGTCAGGTAACTTATTGGACATCTTTCAGGCTATGTAAATGATTTTTTACGGACGGTTTCTGCTTTAATCTGTGAAATACTTCGGGATACTTTCGATTATGTCAACCCTCATGTTTTCGGAAAAATCAATTTGCTTTTAAGATCGTTTCAGTACGATTTAATTCAGTATAATTTAGTATATATAAAGGAGAGAGGGAGAGCCTTTGAAAACCCTATTTACAGATAGATGCTGTCTGATCATGCATGTTGCTCAAAGTCATATATACATTATATAAATTGTTGTTGTCTTCCGAATGGATGACCAGCAAGCAAAGTAAGGTCAAGCCTTCTTTTGAATGCAATGATGCTATCTGTTCATGCATGTTGCTCAAAGTCATATATACATTATATAAATTGTTGTTGTCTTCCGAATGGATGACCAGCAAGCAAAGTAAGGTCAAGCCTTCTTTTGAACGCAAGAACTACCGAGGAAGGAAGTTTATTCCATTCTTCAATGACCCGCTGGCAGAAGAAGTGAGCCCGCACTTCTAGTTTGGCGTGGTGTTTCTTCAGTTTGTACGGATGACCGGGTAGTTGTTTGTGCAAATTCAAAGAAGG